TCTCTCTCTCTCTCTCTCTCTCTCTCTCTCTCTCTCTCTCTCTCTCTCCCCCTCACACACACACAGTGTCGCTCCTCCCTTGTCTTCCCACTTTACCACCGGCCAATACTGTCGGAAGCGAGTCGAATATTGAATTTCGCGCGCGGGGGCTTTCCATTCTGTAGGGTTTGTGCGAATATGTGTCTGTGCCCCCGGCTGTCCGTTTCCGAATGGTTTGCAGGGAGGCGCCAGGGTGTACAGCGCACTGCGCGCCCGTGAAGGTCGCTGGGCCGCGTGCACTGACCCCTGCAGGCGCCGCCCATGCGGACAGGTCGGACAGGCGTGGCGCGGACTCTAAGTGGTCCCCGTGCAGCCATTGGATCGCGCCCTGCCCGGCCTCGGCCCGGCCCACACATCATTCAGCCAGGTCCATTTACATCAGCCGTGCGAACCTCTCAATCACGCCCTCCGCCGCTGCCCCCAGCAGCACACCCTCCCCCGTCTGCCGGGTGGGAGGAGAGTGTCCTCCTCGTCCAAGCGCTCCGGTGACATGTCCGAAATAATCAGTACAGCGCACACAGCCAATTAGTTAATTATTTGTTTTTGACGTGAGATGCGAGGGAGGTGAGTTTTATTCCGAAAAATATTAGCGGAGCGATATAGCGATGCCTGTTACTCATGTGACCGAGAAATTGTGCCCTCCAGTTTGATTGCCTGGCTTCTCTCTGTCTCTGTCCGAGCTCTGTCTATCTCTGTCAGTCAGTCTGTCTGTGTGTTTGTAACTCCAGAACAAGTTGTGGAGATGGAGAAGAAATTTTCAGCAGGGTCATTGTTTTGCAATAATAAGAGACGTCGCTATAGGCCTGGTAGCTCAAAATACAATTCAATCAACACGTTCCCTGCGGCATGACCACTGTGTGGTCACGCTCCCATGTTAAATCGTAGTATCGATAATGAGCCGCAGGAAACGTGTTAAGCATAAAAACGGTGTTGACCTTTCAGGATTATTGAGATAATAAGGGATTAAGATGACGTAATTATCTGTATGACTTTCACTGTTTAATGGACGACGCTGGACGAATTGCAATCATACATCACAGACAAACAAAAGTCAAAACACTAATGGCAATATGAATATATGAATGAGTAATGTAGCCAAGACTCCAACACTACCAACTTGACAGTCTAACAAACGGTCAAATTTTAACCTAAAAATGTGCACGCTGAACACAAAATCGTGGGACAAGGGTTTAAAATTGGCTCGGGTCACGGTGGCTAGATTTTGTGAGGAAGTTGTCCTCAATATTAATTTTGAATGTTGGAGGTCGCAGGAACCCACCTCCGTTTCTGCCTCTACTCTACCCGGACGTTGCCACACAGGCCTTGTTGGTACTTAGATATATCCGCTAGGTGTGTGGTATGTGTCGCAGCCTGACAATGTTTCACGGTTTCCCGTATCATCGCGAAACCCTTTACGCGAGAAGTCGTCTGGCGTACCTAGTATTTGAAAAGTATGAGGGCCAAATTTTATACCCCCTCCCGAGGGACGGCCTCCCCCCTCATCCCTCCCCAATAAAAGAGCAGCTTTATGAACCTCTTTCTTGGTCCTGGTTCGGCGGTGCATGTCAGCGCACTCGAGCACTCTTCTTCCCCCTTCTCCTTGTCTGCAGCTCTTTCTCCCTCCCCTCCCCTACCCCACCTCTCCCTCTCTCCGTCCCTCCTTCCCTACACCTCTCGATCGGCGGCAGGTGCTGGGTGCTGGGTTTCCGTGTTACGCGATATCCCTGGCCCGGTCCGTCTGCGCCGTGGTGCGCTGTGCGGTGCGGTGTGGCGGGGAGGAGCGTGGCTCTCTGCCAATATATATCGTTTCCCAGCAAACGCGGTGAACGGAGGCGTCATAGGCGGCGGCGGGGGAGGCTGGAGGATGAGGAGGGGTGGCAGGAGGGTGAGACGGGATGGCAGGAAGGTGGAGCCGGGAGACCCTCTGGGACTTGGACTGGAAGAGGGGGACGTAACTGAGTGCACCGCCCTGTGAGGTGGGGCGTTAAGGGCCCCGCCCGGCCCCGGCGGGGAAGGGTGGGTGCTGTTCTGAGACAACGCGGCCGACTAAGGTTTCAGCAACACTTTGCTGGGTCGCCCGCGCTGCTGAGCCGTGAGGGGAGCGGGCTCCTGTCCGCCCGGCGGGACTGTTTCACCCATAGCACCTCGCCTCAGGGTGCGCGGGGCGCGGGGCGCGGCGGGGAACTGATACCCCGGCCTCTTCCCCCAGCTCGGCGGCTGCAATAGGCGGAGTGCACCGCACGCCACGTCAGCAAGCAGTCCCTGTGGTGTGCATGCCCCCGGTGAGTGTGTGTGTGTGTGTGTGTGTGTGTGTGTGTGTGTGTGAGCGCGCACGCTCTGTGGTGGAAGCTCTACGATGACTTGGCGATGGAGTTATCAAGGCAGAGCAAGGGCATAACTAGGCTAAAAGGGGGACGCGGAGAATGAGAGACTACCTCACGTGCAACGCCTCTCGCTTTCTCTTTCCATGCACTGCTGTCTCTATCTCTCTCCCACCCACCCCCCTTCGCTCTCTCTCTCTCTCTCTCTCTCTCTCTCGCTCGCTCGCTCGCTGTCCCTCCTCCCCTGCTTCCGGTTGGGTCTGCTCCCTTTTGGCGAACAGACACTCGGACGAGACGCTTGCCAAGTTAAAGTTAAGCCCCGCTGCTGCCCCGGCCTCCGGCCTGCGGCGCGCTGCGGCCGGGCGGTGACGGCGCCCTGCTCTGCTCGCCAACCTCCTCGTCCCCCCACGCGCAGCCCCCCCTCTTCTCATCTCCGTACACACCTGGCCTGTCCTCTGCCCTACTCCGTGCCAAAGCAGAGCTCCGCGCCCCGGGACTGTGACTGACTCGCAATATTTTCTTTAACGTCAATTGTGTACCGTCTGGAGGGAAGACCGCCTCTGGCCTCGCTGGCGCTCTCCCTTATGCCTCGCCAGCCGCCCTGCGCCCAATATCCTCCCCGCTCCTCCCCATAACCCCGCCCGTATACGCCCATGGTTATGCGCCTCTAACGCGCCATTTTTTGAATACGTTCGCGCGGCGATAAACAGTTTACAGCGACGCCAGGCGCCGCCCGGCGCCGCCCCGCATGGGATCAAGGCGGCGCCGCTTCTGCCATTCGAACCTACAAAAAGCGGCGCCGTACCGCCGAATCAAAATGCGAGGCATTCCAGGCTCCAAATCCTCGGGAGCTTTTCTTTTTCCCTTTCTCGCGAGGAGGTCCGTCCGTTCCTTTTTACACCCCTACTGACCCCATTCTACAGGATGGCCAGTTAGTCTAACTCATGTGTTGCATCCTTAGCCCCCCCCCCCCCTCCACCTCCGCCAATAGCCTCCCTCTCTGTGCTCTTCTCTTTTCCTACGCCATTAGACGATATTTTATGTTTCTATTCTGGCTAGTCGCCTCAATAGTGGCGCCATAAAAATTCCCGCGCTTTTGTACCCGCGCGCGGTGACGGCGCGCCAGTCCTGGCGGCATGACTCTTTTGTTTTCTTCGGCTCCTCTCTGGCCGTCTCTTTCTGGTTCACAGCTTCCCGTTTCTTACAACCTCCCTTTTTTGCCAGCTCTCTTCGCCCCCCCCCCCTCTTTTTGTGATTGCATCATTTTACAGCAGCTGCCTCAACTTTTTGACTGACACTTGCCAGGCAAACGCCAGAGGTGACGATGCCGGGGTCGATATTGAAGAGAGTGAGAAAAAGACGAGTTAAGGCTTCATGAAACGGTCGTGCTCACGCGAAATGAAACGCCAGCGTTCCTCAACCCGCCTCGCTGAGGGTTGTTCACAGATTTGTTCTTTGCGCGGCACACGCACCAGTCTTTGTTCTCGACCGCCTCCCCCGTTTTCTCTGCTTGAGCTACCACATCTTTCTTACCAAAACAACCCGAGGCGCCTTAGACGATGGGAGTAGCCGCAGAGTGCTCCACCGTAAATGTAACAAACACGGAAGGAAATTGCTCGCTTTTGTTTATCTTGTAGTAAATATTTTAATAACTAATGAAAAACAACAAAAACAGAAAAGAAACTTAAACTGGGTCGTGTTTTTTTGTGTTGACAGCGCGTGCGTGTCGCGGTGTCCCCCACGGAGCTACTTGTCCAAGGACGCCTCCTGCTTGCCGTGCCACGAGTCCTGCGAGACGTGCGCCGGCCCGGGGCCCGACTCGTGCCTGTCGTGCGCGCCGGCACACCTGCGCGTCACCGACCTGGCCGTGTGCCTGCAGCAGTGTCCCGACGGCTACTTCGAAGGTAAGAACAATTACAAAAGTGCGCACCTCAAGCACTAAGAACCTTTTCGCTAAATCATCAGCATGTGTTTGCGACCTCAGTTCATAGGAAATTATTTTAAAGTTGTTTCGTTTTAGGGGTAGCATTGTAAACATGCGTGATTGTCAACTTTAAATTATGAATTGGAGTATACTACGTATATAGCTCAACGAGCGAGCCACCAAATTGCCAGGAACTTATTGTGAATAATTAAAGAGGGGCTGCGATGTTTTGTTGCGATAGGCCGCACCTGCTGCCGCGCTTGTGTATACTCACTCCCCGACCGTGTTGCGTTGTGTCCATGTTGTCGTGCTGTTGATCGAGTGGCCACGAGCCCGCTGGTGGTGGGCGAGGTCCCTCCTCCGGTGTTAATCTCCTCTCGTCTGCTTGTCCAAACTGTGCCGCAGCGCGACCCTCAGCAGTACGTTGGATCCCTTACACGCTCATTTTGCCCAACCTGTTTTTTTTTTCTTGTTTTTTTTTTTTCCTTTTTTTTTCATTTTGCACGCATTGGTGTATACTACTTTCTCGCGCGCACAGACGGAGAGGCATTAATTTTTCAGAAGCGTTATTGCATTTGCAGCGACATCATCAGGTAATGGAGAGTAGCCACGCGAGCGCAGAGCGTAGACTGTAAATATTGTCGTAGCGGCGTGTAACAAGAAAACTAATGGCAAAAAGCAGTCTTGTAATAATTTTTGTTTTGTTGGGCTAAAGGCTAAAGCTAACAGTCTGCACTGTAATAATTGTTTGTGACGATGACGAAAATACCATGGCTCATTTTTAGTAAAAGGGGGTCGTCATGGGTTTTCTCGTGTGCCATGAGATATACTTTTATTTAAACTTGGCAAAGTTTCAGGAACATTGTCCATGATGTGTGTTCTAAAATCCCAATTTGAAATTGTAAAATTACATGTACTGCGTATCGGCTTGGAATTCAGTGACGAGCAAGGGCTGTCGTAAATTTACAACAATTCTCGTTTAATGAAAATCACAAAATATTTCGAATATGTTTTTCACAAGTTTTTGTTGAACGTGAGTTAGACCAAATTTAAGTTTACAGAAATGTAATATTTTAGGTTCCTGTGGGGTTTCCACAGTAAAAATTATGTCTGTTAATTCAGGTAGATTGCTTGAAATCCATACTTGAATTTCAAGGAATATTCTTGGATTACAAGATATCATTTTTACCGTGTACAAGGGGATCCGTGGTTTGGTTAGGGGTGTCGCCGGCAACAACAAACCACTGAAGGTCCGCGTTCTGCTGTGTTTGCAGACTCCGAGAAGGGCGTGTGCATCCCGTGCGCCGCCAACTGCGTCTCCTGCTCGGACCAGCCCGACCGCTGCACCGTCTGCGCTCCGCGACTGCTCATGCACGGATCCAAGTGCTACGCGGCCTGCCCACCCGGCACCTTCAACATCACCAGCGACAAGTGAGTGTACTGGGCAGGGCAGCCTCTCGGGCGGTAGTGCTAGTTGGATGACCCAGCCCTCTTGCTCTCCCTTCCCCCTTCTCCCCACCGCGGCCCTCTTCGCATCGCACAGATTTGCTGAAGCAAATTCGCTCAGCGACGCGCAAATGCTGACTCCAGTAGAAGCTGGCGCTGCGCTGCTGGGGGCGTGGCAGCCGGGTCCGTGGTACGTGGACGTTCTCTCTCTCTTCTCTCTCCCTCTCCCTCTCGCACACACACACAGATCCCCTTGCACGACGCGGCCCTATCTCTCTCGCTCTCAGTCATTCCGCGCGGGCTCCTTTTATTTTGCCGCGCAGTTTGAAAGCTCGGTTACTGTGACTGCTGCTCCTGCTGCTGCCCCGGGTTTTATTCCCGGAGCTTTTATTCGCATCGGCGGGGACTGAAAACATCACACTGTCAGAGGGTTGGTCCCGCTCCGCCGGTCCCACTCCGCTGGTCCCCGCTGCACTGTGAAACAACGTCGAGCTCTGCAAGCAGTCCGGGGCTTGGACGGCTCAAAGCATTCCTTTTGCGATGGGGAGTAAATGCTTTGAATTGGCTAGTGAATTCTCTGTATGTTTTGTACTATATAGCCCAGATTTGAAAAGTATTAAAACAAAGATTGAACAGTGAAGGGATTGAACAAGTGTGATCTTCGTCGACGACCGCGTTTGTCCCGGGTCACGTCGGTGGGGACGAACTGAAGGGCCGCAGGACTGTAAGTGTCTAGTTGGACTCCAAACGAAGATGGTTCGTGGCGCGGCGGGGGAGCCAGAGTGTGCTCGCGGCGCGGCCACGCCTCGACACGCCCTCCGGAAGTGGGGAACACATTTTATAGTCGGCAATGAAATCCGGCGTGTCCTACCTCGCGGCGGCGGCGGCAGCGGCCCCGCGCAGCGCGGGAAATTCAAATCGCGGACTACTTTGCGGCTCCACGCCAAACTCACGACATAAAGTCCCCCAAGGAGCAGCGCGGCTCGGCTCGGCCTGGCAGAGCCCGGCGGGGACCTCGTGACGGAGACCCCCCTCCTCCCCTCCCTCCAACCCTCTCTTCTCTACTCCTCTTGCGGCTCCCTCCCCCTTACCAATTTTCCCGTGCCTCTCGCCGTCGGCCTCTCGTCCCTTCCGCCCCCCCCCCCACTTCCTCTGTCTTTCTCTTTCAAACTCGGGCGCCAAACCCTCTCCCCCTCTTTCCTACTTCTCTCTCGGCCCATCCCCTCCCCCTCCCCCCATCACTCTCTCCCTCCCTCCCTCTCTCCCTCTCTCTGTATAATGCGACCGCCTTGGGACTGACGCGTGGTATGCTGGCTGGCGGAGCCTGCCCAGGCGCGCCGGGTACGTAGGCAGATGAGACCGGGTAGCAGCAGTGGTGCCCGCCCCCGTCTCCTACTACTACTACTAGCACGACTCGCGCTCCGTAGGTTCGCGATTCGCGCGAAATCACGCCAATTCAGTCCGTTTGCAATCGCGCGCACATTCACTGCTATGCCGGAGCGGGCGGGACCCCCTTTCCCCACCCCTCCACGCTGCAGCAGGCAGTTTGTGTTCCAACACGAGCGCTTTGCCCCCCCTCCCCCTTCTCCCCTTTCTGTTCGCGATCACCACACACACAGTTTCACTATTTCGAACTCTGCCGAGACGCGTTCATGTCTAGTCGCGCCGGAGTATATATGGTCCCCCATTTCACTATATTTGCTGGCCGTTTCGCTTCTCGATGTGAGTGCTGCTCGTCACGGAGACAATCGTCATCTCCGCGCGCAGCCACATGTTGATCCTGCTGCTCTCCCTCCCCGACTCTCCTCCCCCGGGCCCCGGGCCCCGGGCCGTCGTGTTGTGCTCTCCTTTTTGCCCGGGCCGACCTCAGAGCCGACCTACATCGCCTCGCCGGGGCGCGATGAGGCGACGATGAATGGTGCCCGGTCGCGCCGCGGTCGTAACCCGCACACCGAACACCGCCTCTCTCCCCCGGCTCTCCCCCTCTCGCCCTCCCCCGCCGGAGACAAAACACCCTCCAGGCGGCTGGGCCGGGGAGAGGGTTAAGGGGAGCACTTGAAATATTCAGGTCGAACGAGAGAGAGCCTGCATCTGTCTGGCTAGCGGTGGTGGAGGGTTGGGATCCCGGACCTCACTTGCCCTGGAGTAGTCGGGAGAGAGAGAGAAAAAGAGAGAGAGAGAGAGAGAGGGAGGGCTCCGCTAAAGTGACCCAAATCTGTCTACCCCGCTACTTGGTACCCCCCACGGGGCCGCTGGTTTGGCGCCGTGAAGGTGTCAACGCGGGGTTAGAGATCTGCGCTTGAAACTGTCGGTGGCAAACGAGCGCGGGAAAGGACAGCAGCCGCCAAGGGAACGACGATGCGTGAGTCTGGGTTTATGGCGACTGTTCGCCCTCTGTTTTTTTTTCTTCTTCTTGTCAGCGGTCGACTTAGCGCTCGGGGGGTTCGATCTGTCTCTGTTCTAAAGCCGTTGGCGTCGTTGGCGCCCTGAGAGGTGACCTTGGCGTCCTGCTCTGCGTCGTGTCCTCGCGCCGCGGGCGCCGCCGCTGCCGCCGCTGCCGCCGCTGCCGCCTCTCGCATTGTGGGACTTCTCTCCCTCCCTCCTCCGCCTTCTTCCCCTGACCCTCAAAGCCCGGCCAACAGGAAGGAAATGTCGGCGTCGCCGCAAAAGGCTGTGGGTGTGGCATAAATAACACGCGCTGGCCCACACACAGACACGGGCTGGGCGTGGGCCTAGTGGCGAGCACACACAGATAGCGCCACTTGTGGCGCGGGGCAGTGCGCCGGCCGCACACTAAATGCTTATGAACTTTTTTATTCGCAGTTATGAACAATTTTATACGTAGCTTACTGAAATCTGTACGCGTGCTCTGTTACGGATTATTTTGTCCCCAAGCTGCGCTTTATCCTTAATGCGCATCTTGTCAACTAAAATTGATCATAGTTGCGTATTATTGAACACATTTCTAGACCAGGCCAGGGATCCTATACAGCCCTGTCTTATGAACTATTTAATTCACATCTTATGAATTAAAACAGCCGCAACTACGGATAATTGCACAGACCATTGGTTCTCCTGTTTGTTCGTATCTTCTGAACAAAATTCTCCATAAGGTATGAATAGAAAAAAGTACACAAATTCATTGTTAAATAGTTCATAAGGTATGAATAGCAAAGAGTACACAAATTTCTTATTAAATATTCTGATGGCACTCATTCAAAAGAAAATCATAGTGATAACGCTGCCACACAATTTCATAATAGTACTGCTCAAACCATGTGACTTCAAATACGAGGCGAGCCCTCACAAAT